CCCCAAAACCCCAAAACCCCAAAACCCCAAAATACATAATAATTTATTCAATTTGAGAATTTAATGTTTAAATACTATTCAGATGATGGAATCAACTATAATTTAAATTCTAGTATAATTATAATAGAAGTATTGTGGAGTGAATGTTTCGTGATTCTAAATCCTCTATTGATGTATGATTAGCCTCTCGTAAATTCTAATTTTTTAATGGTAGGCTAGTGCAAATGAATAGGTAGGAAGAGAAAGAAGAAAAACAAATAAACTATTCGACAATCATCAGACTTAAAATAATAATTTTACAGCTGCAAATGATGCTTCTTCACACATGGGGAAAATAAATTTGATTAAGAGTATGAATTCTTCAAGATCAAATTCTCCTAATAGAAGATACTCAAAGTATGGCTAATAGGCTTTACAAATAATTTTAGGAGAAAAAGTAATGTGCCTATAATGTCGTATGAAGAGAAATAAGCCGAACTTATAAGAAGGAGAAAGTTATTATATGGAGTCAAAGACATTGAAAAACTTATTTCGTAAGTTTTACTTATTCATAAACTATCAATATCATACTCTAACTCTAAAAATATTTATAGAAAATCGAGAGAAACTTAATAGTATATGTAAAAGAGCAAGCAAGATTAAAGTACTAGCTCTAGCAATAAGAAATCAAAAGATTGTAAAGACAGGCTAATAATCTCTTAAAGAAGTTAATGTAAAGCATTCTTCGATATTTGGATGCTGATTCTTGTTGGTTACTCTTGCTTTACCACGATCTATTAGTACTATTACATCGATCATAAATATAGTGTTTCCTTTGGAATTGAAGTAGATGGAGTATTTAGTAATATCGATGACGTCGTTACTGGTTTCTTCGGAATGGATCTCTTAACAAGTAACACTAATACATCATAAAAATCTTCAATGCTAATAGATTTCATGATGGAATACTAAGATTAGGAAACGTTTCAGATGATCAGAGATCACAAGAAAATTGCTAAGAAATACATTATGGGTGGTTGGTTCTTTATAGACTTCGCCGCTACTTTCCCTATAAATTATGTAGTGGGTGGAAGTGTCCTATGGTCTAGACTTCTAAGATTGTTCAGATTGCCATAGCTCATTAAGATTTTGGATTTATCCAGATTTAACAGAGTAAATTTCTTATATTGAACTTAAATCTCTGTAGTTATTGAAATCTTTCTTTGAGAGTAGTAATAGATAGGATAGAATAGTTGCTCAATACATCCTGATGTATTCCTACAAGATCTTCAGATTAATCATTATTGCTATTATCATCACTTACTTCGTTGGATGCTTCTGGTATTTGATATCCTCGAATCTGAATTCAGATGATAACTATGATTAATCTTTTGTGGCTAAATATTTTGTTGATGTTCCAGAGGACTATGACAGACTTATCATTAGTTGTTATTTTGCTTTAACGACATTATCAACTGTTGGTTACGGTGATCTTGTTCCTTAAACTCAGGTTGAAATGATCTTTGGCATCTTAGTAATGCTTTGTGGAGTCGGTTTCTTTTCTTATATTATGAGCTCTTTCATTGAAATTATATCAAACTATGATAAGAAAATGGGTGCTGTAGATAAAGGCACTGAGTTGCATAACTGGATGACATTGCTTACAAGATTTACTAATAATAAGCCTTTACCGAAAAGTCTTATAAATTAGATAGATAATCACTTCAGCTACTATTGGAATAACGATAGATTAGCTTCCTTAAGTAAGAAAAATGAATACCTAAATGCATTACCAAGATCTATCAAAAGAAATGTACAATTTATTACTTCTCTAACTCTTAAATAGATAATGATACATTACTTATTTGATGATATTTTCTACAAGTTTAGATTTTTCTTCAACTCCCAAAAGTATAAAGATTCAAAGTTCCTTTATGACATTTCTTTCGGACTAAAGCCAAGAAAGTTTGAAACTAATGATGATGAAAAACTTATTTACGATGAAGAAGATGAAGTTTCAGAAATGTATTTCATTCAAGAAGGAACTGTAAGAAGATATATACATATCCTTATTAAATTTGCGATTAGGTTGGAATTGGCTACTATTTATTTAGTTAGGGTCTTTCCAAGAAGTAATACAAGTTAGGAATATTCATGAAAGACAATTCATTTATATGTGATTATTATGTGTGCAATAATAAAAAGAGTGAGTTTATTTTCATAGCTGTGAGTGAGGTTAAAGCTTTCGCTCTCTCGAAAAGATTTTTACTTCATAATATTTTTGAGAAATATCCAGATATAGCTTCTGAGATTAAAGAGCAATCATATTACAGATATAAGAAGAATGTTAAAAATAGATTGATAAAGCATAGATAAGAGCATCTTGAAGAGATCAATAAAAAGAGCAGTTATAAGTACATATAAGTCAGAGAAAAATCTGATGGAGCAATTATTCATTAGCATGGGGGTGAGAAACCATCTCAAGGTAACCTTGAGTCTAGAGCAGAGATGCAAAATGACATTAAACTTGGCAAAGAGCAAGGTGAGACTGACTTGAATTCTATCTTGAAACGAAGAATAGAAGGAATACAAAATGAGATGTCCAAATTTAACTAGAATATATCTGAATTTGCTGAGACTTGCGACACCGAACTAAACAACTTGATAGGAAACATCAATTTGTTACAGAGAAATCTTGGATACCTTAATCAATAGTTCTAGCAATAGACACAATGATTAATTTTATAAATTACAAGCATGAGAAGTTTTGAATTTTAAATCAAATTTTCATTAATTATTAATCATTTAATCTCACTTAACTGTTATGGGGTTTTGGGGTTTTGGGGTTTTGGGG